GTCAAACCCCTTTAATGGAGTGGAAAGGCTATTGATTCACTTTCTAAACTATAATAAAATTAAATTGTAAAGTTCCATTGAAAACAGTTTTGTTCCTTTCCAGAAATCCCATCGTGTTATGTCTTACATGTGAATCCATTCTACCCATGTTGTGATGTTTATACTAATTCTAACCTCACTCAGTTAAGTTTACTAGCAGCATAAAAAAAAAAAAAAAAAAAAGAATCTATAATATTGGGCCCAGCTTAAAGTATTAGCGAACTAGGTGGTCTCGGAATGGCTTAGAGCCAGGCAAACCGTGGTCACTACTGAATGGAGCTGGCAATTGCCTAGTAGCAAAGCCATAAAAAACAAGAAGAAGAAGAAGAAGATATCTTTAAAAACAGAAAAGTTACAGCAAATTAAAATGTTATCACGATAAATTGGTACCTACTGGTACTTCAAATTTTATAGATTGTAGGAATTAATTATTATTTAACATGAAATGGGTAGTTAATTGTATTGTGTTCTAACTTACCTATTATATTTTGCAATATTATTCGACTTTTTACGTCTGGCAGACAAATATATCCTGGTTTTACTTCCTTTTCTGTAGTTTGGCTCCATTTCTTTTGGCACACACAAAACAACAAAATAAAAACGGAAAAAAGTTTAGCGTACAAAACTTAAAATTGAAAAAACTAAAATAATTGACGAAGAACGTAGGTATAACGGAAGCACAAGTAACTAAGCGGAGATATTGCTTTAGTTTGAAATGATAACTACTCAACATGCCCATTATATAGGATATATAATATTATTTCATAAAACATATTTTACCTGTACAACCCAATATATGCCCCTTCTTGGTATTAACACGTTGAGTACCAACAATGCTTTAACCAGTTCCATACTGGTGTACCGCAGTAGATAACTTGCAAACGGATTGACATATTAATATGAAACCAAGACAGAAATGACTAATAGGAGTTCTTAATATGACTTTGACAGCTCTGACCTTGAGCCACTATAGTGGCCACTAAAATGTAAGCCTAATGTACCAATATGGCCACTATAATGGCCATGAATAAAATGAGTCTTTTTGAAAAAAAATATATTTTTAAGGAAATATAAAGGAAACTTTACACAAAAATAATATTTTTAGCTTTATTTTGTGTGCCATATCTCAAAACACGGATGAATGCATGAACCTGGACTACCATCGCACTTTGGGGATTGGTATCTGGTCCTTTTTCTTATGTTATTTCTGGAACTTTGTTGGCACCGTTTGGAGGGCGTTGAATTTTGTGTTTTTTTTTCGGGATTGGTTCTAGCGTTGTTCTAGGTAATGAAACGAATTCGGATCAGGATGCATTGCAGTTTTTCCGTATTTCTATTTACTTCAAATATTTCAATAATCCCTCGGATATTCCATTTTTCTGAAGGTATGTTAAGCAGTTTGCCACTCCAGAATGCGCAAAAGCTGCCTAAATCGAACAAGACACTTATTTAGCACAAGTGAAAATAAACGACTAATCCAGGTACTACATGGCCAATATAGTGGCCATGGTGGGTGGGGGCATTTTGCCAACCCTCTCTGTGTACCACACAACTGAATAAAACCTTCTATTTTGTACCGCGGCAATTCAATACTCGTTTAAAATACTTCAAAATACCGGCCACTATTGTGGCCGCGGTACATTTTTACAACATTTTGTGGCCATTATAGTGGCCGGTCGTATTCAACGTGTTAATTGGTAATCTATTCCAGTTGACCCCATTGAGATTTGAAAATAAATCAACTATCTTTACCATTTTACCTGTGGCGGGTACCTATATAGTTTAAATTCGAATTTCCATATTATATTTTGTAAAATTATTATTTAAATTATCCATGTACCTGTCGCAGGTGTAATGGTAAAAATAACTTAGTTTCAAAACTCAATAGGGTGAGCTGAAATAAATTACCATCAATTACAAGTAAAGGGGCATAGATTATTAGGTTTAGGTAAAATACATATACTATGGGTATCTTTTATTATACCTACATCATCATTTTGGGATTTCTATTTGATGCTTTGGTACTTTGATAACCAAATGTCGTAGTTCTGATAATAATTATTCTATCTTTCTTTTTTTCTAACAAATTAAAAATAAATAAATGAAATAATTCAACTAAACCAACCTACAATGCAAAAATACCCAAGATAATTTTACATGACTATCACCTTCGACCGGTCCGACCCTGTATCTCCATCATTTTGCCGATGTTAGAGATCGTGGGAGACGAGTTGTATCTATTCCCAAGCAGTAAATAGGCAGCGCCATCTATCGCGAACATACTTAAAGCATTGCAAAGGTTTTCAACTAGGCAATATTTAGCAACAAAACTAACTCAAATTGTTATAAATTATATATCACCGGATAAGCAAAAAAAGGAACTTTGATTCCACTGAAGAAGATTTTTGTTTTAAATTCCTATTTTGAAGCAAATAATTTGTAAAAATGAGGCATTTTCTTTCAATTTTGGTGACCAAAATTTAATTAATGAAATTGAAATTCCAAAAAATACATCGCGAGAGTAAAAGATCAATGTCTTCCCTATTATATATTTTCAGTAGAAGTCAATACCTTTTGTAGTTTTTGTGTAATCATCCTAGAGCTGAACGCCGATTTTGGGTAAATTTCATGCGAATGAGTGGACTCTTAAAACCTGAGTGAAACAAATTATTGACGCCATAGACATTAGTTATTGACGAAAGTATGAACCCTCATGAAACGGACTGTACCTACGTTTCCGTCGGAATTTCGCCTGCCGATGCCGGTTATTATTATTTACTAATACAACGGTCGAAATTTGATCGTGGCGCCATCTAAGATAAAGATTCAACACCAAACAGCAATTTTTGCTGCAATATGGTGACTGAGTATCTAATCGGCCGACCAAAATTCAGTTCGTGGGAAAACCCAGAATAGGAAAACCTATTATCCACTCATCAGTGGCCCCCGGGCCCCCAATATACTCTAAGAAAAAGTAATACCTATGTATATCAAACAAACTCCAAAAATACAAATATGCACATTTAAACAATTCAAATCCATATTTAATTTAGCAAAAAAGTTTTTTCCGGGCTATAATGCCGTGGTCCATTAGTATTTCTACCTAACGTTTCGTCTACTGCTGCGGTAGACAGACACGGAAGAGAACACTTCGTCCTCTACCACACCGCCTCTGAAGATGTCTACCGCAGCAGTAGACGAAACGTTAGGTAGAAATACTAATGGACCACGGCATTATAGCCCGGAAAAAACTTTTTTGCTAGATTTGACCGGCCGTGAAAGCCTTCATTCTTTATTCATATTTAATTTGTCACCATTCCTTTCGAACATAAAAAATGTGAACGCCCAAACAATTGTCAACCCTGGCTGGTCGAAACCTCAGTGATTCCCATAGGTTTAGGATATTTTATAAGTAGTTTTTAAAATAATGCATATTTAATTCCATATCTTTGTACTCATTAGTTAAATATTTGTTGTATGTTTTCCTTGTATTAGAAGAAATTTTTTTTAGAACTTTTCAATCATCCCTCCTATATTATAATAACATACCGGGTGACAATGAAACTACTACCCACGGCGGCATTTCTTAACGGCTCGAGATAGAAATATGCAACTCGGTTTGTGGATAGGGTTGAAAATTGTGAGCAATTTTAATATAAAAACAATTGAATGTCTTCCAGTTCCACCGGAAATAGCATTGACTTTGTTATTTCAAATGGGACACCCTGTATATATTTTTTTGGACCCTCTGAATAATTCTTAATAACTTTTGTATGATATACCCTTTGTCAAAAATTGATAGTTTTTGAAATAGAGTGGCTCAAAAATATGTCGTCATTCCTATTTGTTTGTATTTTACGTAAAAACTGCCATTTCCGGTAAAACTGGAAAAGACATTCAATTGTTTTTATATTAAAATTGTTCACAATTTTCAATCCTATCAACAAACCGAGTTGCATATTTTTATCTTGAGCCGTTAAGAAATGCCGACATGGGTAGTAGTTTCAATGTCACCTCGGTATAATATTTTATAAAAATAAATTTAGTTCCAAAAATTCGCTGTGTTTTTTAACTATAAGATAATGATATTGTGTATAAATATTTACTATAATGGGTTATTTTTGGAAAATATAATAGTGACATAGGGGGCCTCAAAAAAATGTTCGCGGGGGGGCCCCCAAAAAATTTGACACGCTACTGACTAACTTACTGTCACTAGAAATCTGCAAACTTGTTTTAACACTATTCCTTATTAGAAAAAACAAAAAAATCTGAATTAATATTGCCCTATTCAAAACGAAATCAAATGCGATCCTGAACGGGGCTGCCATAAATTATTTTTCCTGCTGCTTTTATCAATATTAGGGGTGTAAGCACGTGGCCCAACAAAGAGGCAGATGATTTATTGCATTTTACGACTTTTCTTAGATCTCTGAATAAACTATACTATCCGATGTGAAAAATTTGAGCTTTGAAGCATTTAGAAAGTACCATGGGTGGGTACCATCTCTAGGTGATGGATATTTATGGTACCCTGTCATAGCGTTACAATCAATTTGGTGTCTTATTAATAAAATTAAGGCACTTTATTTTAGTTATATTAGTTTTGTGCACTGGGATTATCCGAATTTGACTAATTATAAATACATATTACGTTTTTGGTAATTTTTATTAGGTTCTACGCTCTGATGGCACATTACAATGGGCTATGGGTCGAAACGAAATTTTAGAGAAGCTAGGGCTGATGGATTTATTGATTTTTCGTTTGGTACCGATTTGGCCAATTTGAAATTGGAATATTTTTAAATGTTAGGAAGGTGGTTGGCTTCTAATCAATTATCATTCACGCTATGTTGATTTTTACTGTGAATTTTTAAAAAAATCCTTGCTGCATGCATGAAATTTCTGCAAATCAAAGAATATTTATTCAACTTTTTCAAAGAATGCATTTTATTTTACGCAGGTTGAACACTATTCTATAGATTTTTTCTGGTATATATTGGACAAGAAATTTGAGTTAAACATCAGTTAGCTACTCCGGGCTACCAGAGAATATCATCAGTTGCAATCTACCTAATAAAATATAAGTGATTTGAATACAAAATGAACAAGTTAGTCGTAAGTACTTCACTTTTATTTTTAGAACACGTAATAGAGTAGTAAATTATCAAACTATAGATCATCTGTTTCCTGGCTATTATTGCTACTGCTGCAGCTGGAGACGATGAATACGACAGCTACGACTACAAAAACTCGAGAAAAGTAGTTGTTGTTGAAAATGAACCCAGATACCAAGTCATCAGACGTGAACCAGAGTACAAGAAAACCATCTACAAATACAGGGAACCTGAAGACCGACAAGTGGTCGTCAAAGTTATTAAGCCAAGTGAATCAAGGTATATACCATCTTATGATTCAAAGAAAGACGTTGTTGTTAAAGTCTTGAATAGGAAACACTTATAGATTTGTTGATTGTATTTATGGCAACCCCTTATTTGAATAAAGTTTATGCAAAATATGTGTCACTTTGTTTCTACGACAATCAAAAAAAACAACCAAACAGGATTGCCCAATTGTATCGACGACCAGATGAAAATATTAGTCAATTAGTCAATTGTTTGGATTATCTTGAAAATACGCTCGTCACCTTTACTATTTAACTGCATTACTTTAAGTAGGTAGGTACATAGAGTCGGTATAATGTAAATTCAGGGCTGCCCAAAAGGGCCACTTTAATGATGTCTCCCCGACCAGTAGAGCCCAAAAAGGCGACGATTAAAATTTGGGTGAGAAGTACACAGCTTAAAAGGCCACCTGAAAGTGCATAGGTGGTAGGTAGATACCTGTTCAATTCATTTGCATAATTTCAAAGGAGTTGAAAAAAAAAATTCTAATTTACAGAAAATATATTTTCTTCCAACACGCCTTTGTCACAAAACGAGGGCGTTATATAAAAGTTTGAACTTGAATTTGATGTCAAAATCACTTAAATCAAATCCAATAAAGTCAAGGGATATAAAAAAACCTGCTATTAGCTACAATTACGTGGTGTCGGAAGAAAAATAAAGTGTAAACCTTGCCGGTAAAGTGATTTTTCCAGGCGGAAAGAAGAAATTACGGGCGAGCCTCAGCGAGCCTCAGCGAGCCCGGACACTTCTTGAAGGATGGAAAAATGTCACTTTACCGCCTAGGTCTACACACTCAGAAAAATTACATGGGTTGATTAAAAAAAAAAGTTGTTGAATAACAATTCCGATAATATTGTCAAATGAAACTACAATCTGTTTAATTTAATCAGAGCTTAAAAGTTATTTCAACCAATAAAAAATTGTTGCGATACAAAACTTGATTTTACTTAAAAAATAGATATTTTAACTATTGTTTTGCTCACTAAGCAGGATTTTTGTTAAATTTCGTCAATCCATACCAGAAAATGTTTAATTCAGTTTTAGCCATTATTGGATAGTATATCTAACAAATTTAATTGGTAAAAGTGACTATGATATTTTGGGAAAATTGAACTATTATTTAGTTCACTTACAGTTTTTTGTTAAAGTTTGTCAAACCAAACCAACAAATGTTTAATGAATTTTCAACTATTAATGCATGGGGTATTTTACCAATTTTAATTGTTTAGTGACAATAATATTTTAGGCATATTTAACAATCATTTAGTGCACTAACAGTTTTTCTGATAAATTTTATCGAAACAAACTTTAAAATGTTCAACTTGATTTATAACCATTATTAAATGGTATATTTTACCATTTTCCATTTTTAATTGTCAATAATTGACAATAATATTCGCGGCAAATTTAACTATAATTTAGTTCACTAACAGTTTTTTTGTCAAACGGCTTCATCAAACCAAACTATAAATTGTTTAAAATACTTTTAACCATTACTTAATGGTAAATTTAAACCACAATATGGTTAAGTTACTAAAGTGTATACAAAATTTGAAACTTATATCGGTTTTCCTTGCCGTGGTCGGTTCCAGACCAGTCGGTATATCGCCCTCGTCAGTCGTCTGGTGCAGACACCAGATAAACAGGTGAAACCTTATGGAATACGGACTAGTTCCATATTTACATTTTAAAAACGCCGCTTGGTATTACCCGAAATGATTTTTATTCCGTCTATAGAAAAAACGTATGTAACTCGTGTGCGAAATTTCTTCGGTGATTTCGACGGATTTTTTGTCTCGGCTTACGCCTCGACAAAAAACTGTCAGTCTCAAGCACCAAAGTATCATTTCGCGCACTAGATACATAAATAACTATTATTATTAAGATATCAAAAAAAAATGTTACGTGGGATCGATTCAGCATACCTATCAACAAAAAAAATCACTGCCACAGATGTCATGTGACCATAGTCATGGCGGCAAATTTAAAAAGTTCGCCTCAAATATGTAAAAAGTGGGATAAGATGACCAGAAATGAAAAAATTGTAGAGAGAAAAGTGGTTCAGGAATCGATTTTACGTCAAGAAGTGTACAAGGATTTTTAAAAAATATCAATTTTTTGGCCTGTTTTCTGGTAATTTGAAAAATATCAAAAACTTTCCGCCTGGTTCACATAATTCAAAGTGAAACTAACAAAAAAAAAATCCAATGCGGTAATTCTGCTTAATTGTCCCACGACAAATTGTAAAAATCCAAAATAGTAGTTTTCCTAATCAGTGCGCAAAGTTATGTTCGGATAAGCTTTAAGTGCAGGAAAACTACTTTGCGCACGTGTTAGGAACAATATTTTTTCTACGAGTGAAATAACTATACTTCCTTTTTAAATTTTTAATTTCTATAGGCATCAAAAACAATTTTTTGTAACTAGGTAAGTATATCTAAATCGGCCAAAAAAAAATTTCGGCCTCTATCCGCGGGGCTTTGCCCCCTAAAAAATGGGGCCTCAAAAAAGGGGCTCCCGCGAGGCTCCGCCTCCCAAATATGGGGCCTTCGAAGCCAAATATAGGGCTCCGCCCCTCAAATAGGTATAGGGCTCTCGCGGGGCTTCGCCCTCTAAAAAGGGGCCCCGCGGGGCTGTGCCCCTCAAAAAAGTGGCTCCTGCGGGGCTCTGCCCCCCAAATATGGGGCTCTTGCAGGGCTTTGCCCTCCAAATAGGGGGTCCCTACATTTTATTATGGGTACCAGAAAAAAAAGTGTGCGGCAATTTTTTTTTCCCGCATAGTGTGCGCAAAGTAGTTACTTTGTGCACACTCGTAGAAAAATTCATTTTCAGATCACTCTGATCTTGTTGCAATGACCTACAGAAAACAAAAATTTGGAATAACAAATTTAGAATTATCATGAAATATTTCTAAATGATCCAATACCTTTTTTCTAAATTTAATCAAGCCAATATTTTTGAGAAATGTTTTCGATATTTTTCAAATTACCAGAAAACAGGCCAAAAAATTGATATTTATTAAAAAGCCTTGTACCTTTTTAAAAATTGACACATGGACGTAAAATTGGATCCTGAACCACTTTTCTCTTTACAATTTTCCGATTTCTGGTCGTCTAACCCCATTTTTCACATATTAGGCGAACTTTTTAAATTTGCCGCCATGACTGTGATCACATGACATCTGTCACAGTGAATTTTGTTGTTGTTGGGTATGCTGAATTGATCCCACGTAACATTTTTTTTGATATCTTAATAATAAAATATTTTCCCATTTGTTGCAAACTTTTTGGCGATCACTGTAGATACAATAGTTTTATGTAAAACTGTTCTCTTTTTGTTTTAATTTTTCGCCAATCGATCGGAGTTTTTAGACGTATGACCGACTCCTACCCCAAATATATCTGGTAGTAGGACTTCAATTATATTATTTCCTGAAGAACCTCTGGATTGTTTTTCTTGAAATAGCCATTACATTTTACTAATTTCTTTTGTAAAATTATTTTATGCATGATCGGACGGTAAGTTGAACTTACCGCCCGCCTCTTTTAGAAGATAAATCAGCTAGAATAATTTATTATATTCATCCAGAACTATACCTACGTATATAATAATATTATTACCAAAATCGGTGTGGATAACGATGAAAAATATAAAAGTTGTTGATTTTTGGAAGATTTGCAAATACAGAAGTTGCTAATTTTTCAGTGGAAACGCGCCTTTATACAGGGTGATTGATGGTCGATGGTAGGTTAGACGTTTATGGAAAACGGAATGTTGGATATTTTTGAAAATTTGCAACGATGCGATGTTGCCGCTTATACCAAAAAGTAATATGAACTTTGAAATTTTAAATGAGACACCCTGTATATTAGTGCATTTTTCGCTCCGCTATTACTTTCTGATCATTTTTGTATAATACTGTCCTATACCTATCTCTAGTGATTTTCGACTTAATAAATAATTTCTTTATTTTTTCTTCAAAACATAGCTCTAGTTAAATTTGTATGACTACGTCCCTGAGATTCGTAGAAAGTTTAAATTTTGGAGATAACTTAGGGAGGTCCTGCATATCACTTTTGAGCAAGAAAATTTGTTCTACATTATACAGGGTTGGTCAAAATTAGTAATTGTGCTGCCAGGTACAAAAAAGATGAAAAGTGCACTTTTTTAAATAGAACACCCTGTATATTATGAAATATCATGAAGGGCAATTAAAATGCCTTACAAATGATGTGTCATGTTCCCTATACATAAATAGTAAGGTTTCGGAAATACAGGTAAGTTTCTGTTAGAATTGGATTATTTTGGGATATTTGTCTAATGGCGTTTCCAATTGGTAGATTTAATTCACACTGGGTATATTTTCATCTCTTTCTTCCAGCCTGTTGTAGAAACAGATAGAAATACTTTTTCTTTACACTCATTCTACCAACCCGAATCGTCATTGAATAGCTATGTCACGATGAAACATTAGTAATTCAAACGACACAAACCACATGATTGGCAGGTGATTGGAACCATGGTTATTATCTAGGATTAAAAACAAATGCATAGGATGGTCCACTTTTTACAATGTGTGATATGCAAAAATATTGTCATTGTTTTGTTTTTGTCTCTTTCCTACTCACGGTGTTTTTGACAGTTCAATGACATCATAAAAGTCTTAGGTATTATAGGCATCTATGGAAGTGGGCCATACATTTTACCATGACTATTTCCTTCCTGTTAATTTTGACCAATCAGAAGTGATAATTTTGGTGTCAAAAATAATTTTTAATTAAAAAAATTGCCTGCTATCAGCTGTCAGCAAGTTTATTTGGTTTTTCCCACAGCAAAACTTTACAAAACGTCAAAAAGAAGAAATCTGCAAAAAAATTGTAGCAAGAATATGCAAAAAGTTCAACGAAATGTACCCTGATTTACGACCAATGAATGAAAGAAAATTTGTTCGGACAAAATAGTTATTTTTATACCAAGGCCGCGAAATGCCTTTTTAGCGTACGTACAGAAAAGTTATCGCCGAGGCAAGATACTCTCAAATACGCTAAAAAGTTTCGCGGTCATGGTATACACACTATTTTTTGTGCAACTATAAAAATTATGTAA